GTAATAATTACTTATCTGGTGCAGTACCTGTAAGATAAGGATTATGGTCAGACAATTCCATTGTATGAACCATGGCCTAAACAAAAACACAACTCTGCGGTGTGAATACAGTACTCCAGGCAGTCACAGTCTAGTCTGTGTGTTTTTGAGAACAAAGTGCTGTCTAATGGTGACACCATGCAAATTAAGGAATACAATGGTCCCTCGTTATAACGCGATTCACCTTTCGCGGCCTCGCAGTTTCGCGGATTTTTTTTAGTGCAATTTTGCATGCTTTTTGCATGCCGTGTCTCCTGTACAGTACAGAAATTAAATTTGTTAGTTCTAAAATCCATCATTATTATTTATAGGAAAACGTTTATACAGTATTTTTTATTTATTTATATTTTATATTTATTATTTTTCTATGAAGGTTTGAATTTTGAGAGTGTTTAAACAAGAGGGAAAAGTGTGAAAATGTTAATGCCTGTCTGAGAAAAGTGTATAGTGAGGGGTTTTACAGCCTTAAAACATCTATAATAATTGTAAAAAAAATAAAGCTGACTACTTTGCGGATTTCGTCTATTGCGGGTTATTTTTAGAACGTAACTCCCGCGATTAACGAGGGACCACTGTAGTTCTTTAATGCGTGTGTTTTACAGGAAAATCTAGACACACCTTATCAGCTAACAGGAGAAGGGGAGCTCCTGAAGCTGACAGGAACTTCATGCCAGCTACAAGGCAGCTAAAGACCATTCAGCTACTCCACAGACGAGGGGTATTTGGCTGAAAACTGGTTTTTCAGCTTTCTGGAGTAGCCCCTCTTTGCTACTCTGATCTCCCTTGACAATGTGTTCCTGGCCTGCCTGTACAGGATCCTGTGCCCACTTCTGTAGGCCTTCTCTTTAGCAAGACGAAGCTGAGTTTTACTGTGAACCATGCCTTATTGTTGCTATATGTGCAGAACATCTTAGATGGGTGCACACATGTCCTCACAAAAGTCGATTCAAGATGGCACAGCGTCAGTGAGTTCATCCAGGTCTGTATAGGCAGCCTCAAAGACACTCCAATCTGTGCAGTCAAAGCAGGCCTATAGCTCTGACTTTGCCTGCTCAGTCCATCTCTTCACTGTTTTGATCACAGGTTTTGCAACTTTAAGTTTCTGCCTATAGGTTGGGATGAGATGGACCATGCAGTGACCAGAGAGTCCATGGGCTGCATGGGGGACAGAGCGATAGGCGTCTTTGATTACCATGTGGCAGTGGTCCAATGTGTTTTTGTCCCTGGTGGGGCAACTGACGTGATGTCTGTATTTGGGCAGCTCGCGGGTGACGTTTGCACTCTTAAAATCCCCTAGTACAATGAGTGGGGAATCAGGATGTTTCAGTTCCACGCTAGTTACCTGTTTGGCCAGGTGCTGTAGCTTGGGTCTGCAGTATTATATACACTTTAACCAGAATAAATGACAAAATTCTCTGGGAGAATAAAATGGTTTGCAGTTGATGAAGAGAGTCTCTAATCTGTGTTGCAAGTTTTTTCTAACACTGTGACAAAATTAACTGTTAGCAAGAGGTTAACTGTTAGCTTTAGCAGTGAGCCAAACATATCTTAAGGTAACAACCGCCAGAGTTCAGCTAAATCCATCATCAAGAAATGGAAGGGATATGGCATGTCTAAATCTACCTAGATCAGGCCGTCCTCACAGACCGAGGGACCGTGCAAAAAGGAGACTAGTGAGAGAGGCCACCAAGACACCTATGAGTAATGTGAAGGAGTTACAAGCTTCAGCAGCTGAGATGGGAGAGACTCTGCATGTTGCCCAGGTTCTTCACCTGCCAAAGCTTTATGGGAGAGTGGCAAAGAGAGAGCCACTGTTGAAGACAATTCATATTAAATTTCACCTGGAGTTCACCAAAAGGCATGTGGGAGACTCCATGGTCAAGTGGAAGAAAGTTCTTTGGTCTGATGAGACCAAAATGGTGCTCTTTGGCCAATCAGACAAGATGCTATGTTTGGCGGACACCAAACACTGCACATCACCACAAACACACCATCTCCACTGTGAAGCACAGTGGTGGCAGCATCATGCAGTGGGGATGCTTCTCGGTAGCTGGCCCTGGAAGGCTTGTAAAGGTGGAGGGTAAAATGAATTTTGCCAAAATATAATAAAATTGAGGAGGACAAACTTATTCAGTCTGCAAGAAGAACTATGACTTGGGAGAAGATTTATTTTCCAGCATACAGCGAAAGCTACATAGAAATGGTTTAAAGACAATAAGGCAAGTGTTCTGGAGTGGCCGAGTCAAAGCCCAGACCTCAATCCAATAGAGAATTTGTGGCTGAAAAGGGCTTGAAAAGGGCTGTTCACACCCGAGCCCCATGCAACCTGGCAGAGTTTGAGCAGTTTTGCAAAGAAGAATGGAGTAAAATTGTAGCGTCCAGATGTGCAAGCCTGACTGAGACCTATCCACACAGACAGCTTGTGTGGATAGGTCTCTGTGATTGCAGCCAAAGGTGAATTTACTAAATACTGACTTGAAGGGGGTGAATGTTGATGCAATCACTTATTTCCCATATTTTTATTTAATTGACATTACTTTGTAGAAATCTGTTTTCACTTTGACATTAAAGAGGCTGTTTTTGTAATTTTGTTGTCAAAAAAAATTATATTGACCGTGATTGATTTATAAAATCAATAAAAGGGTAAAACATGCAGGGAGGTGAATACTTTTTATAGGCACTGTATATAAGCAAAGAAAAAATGTTTTTGAGTTTAGTTTGGTCTTTAAATAGCCCAAATATCTCCCACTACCAAACTCCTCAGACCCTTTTTTTCAACAGTATCCTCGTCTTTTTGAGCCTTAGGCTGTGTCCGATGGGATACCTCCTTCAATAACGCTGTCACTTGAGTTTTCATTATGTCATCATTTTCTATGACCTCACTACTGATGTACTGCTGCGCATGGCTGCAGCAGCCCAAATGTTGATGCACATGCTGCAGCCGGCTGCTACTCCTATGCTCTGTGCCATGTGCATCAACCTAACTTCTACTCCTGTCACATGATTGGTTCAGTGCAGCTCTATTCCCATTATCATTTGCTGTTTGTGTTGTCTCAAAGCATGGATGGAACAAGTTCATCTTATATTTCTTTCAAGGAAAAGTTATTTCCCAATAATCATAATTTTATCCCCCAGCCCTAAATCAGTCCTGTCTGATACAACTTTGAACACTGCAGTCAAATATTACAGTGATCTGTATTCTAACACAGCAGGAACTGTTTTTTAAAATAATCTTTTAACAACAAACTTGCAACAGCTGTTCAGCAAAAAAAAAAAATTGGTTTAAACAAAAATTTTACTTTGAGTAAAGGTGAATTTTACTTAATGAGCAGGATGCAACAAGTGCTGCAATTCCTCACAACATATAAATAAACCAATTAATTTTAATTCATTTTTGAGTAAATTCTACTCAAAATGTAAAACAACCCTTTTAATGAAAAATAAAAGCTTTTAAACTTTAACCTAAAAAGGGGAAAACAACAGAGACTTCACAGTGTGGTGAGGTCTTCAGTTTTAGGTTATGCTGAAGGAGGATTCTATGAAAAGTTCTGCTAATATCTGTTACAGGATTACAAATTTAGAAATGATCCTCATGAATATTAGAACAGGAACAAACCAAAGGCTGCGAGTCAGCAACAAGTGACAAAAGTCCTGAAAGCTGCTAATAATAAAAACTGTGAAAAAAATTACAGTAAATCAAAAGTGGAAATGTTACTGCTGCCTGCACGTGAACACAAGTGCGCTAATTTATGGATACACGTATGTGTATAAATGATCAGGAAGATACCACCTCTGCCTCATTTTGAACCAGGAAAACCCCTGCTAACTTAAAAAAAGAAACAATGCCCTCTACAGGCGCTATGCTACTTTTAAGGTACACCGTTAAATTCCATTAAAGAAGCCATGATCAGCGTCCTACCTATAGTGCCGTTGAAACGATGTGTTACTAGGGGCCTAATTCATTAGAAAAACGGAACATACAAAAAAATAAGCTATTTTTAGTTCTAAAATGTACGACGTTTGGCCATTAAGATGTAACGTCACTTACAGAGAGAGCCTGGCTTGACACAATCTGAAATCCAGGGCTAGAGGTGGCTGTGACCAAACGCTACCATTACACTTCTGGAAATACAGCGTGGAAGGTTAGGAGGCCACAGTGTAAGATACAATGTATTACATTAACAGGCTAGCTCAGTATAGTGGTTTCAAAGCTACACTGTCTATATCGTCTGTGAACATCAACAAATGAAAATATTAAGGCAGCTAACTTGAACGCACATTCTCTAATGTTACATGACATTGTTTTGACCCAAAGACGGGATTAGTTAAATCAAGAAAGCTTAATGTTTAATTCGTTTTTATAGTTCCATGTCACTGACTGACCGTCGCGTCAGGCGATTTATTAATTTAACTAGATCAATTTAACAAAAGAAACCAGGGAGGACATTTGGCAGACTACCGCAAGGCTAAAGGACACTTCAAGTCAAAGAGTGCTTCTGTCCCGGGCCTCAGACCTTGGCGTTAGCTTGCTAGCCGGCCTTGGTGATCATATTTGCATTCTTACTTCTGACAACCTATAAGTAGTCATTACTAATAAAGACACGTGACCCCTGTGTTAGTAAGTCCATTGAGGCCACAGGGGAGAGAGAGTTGAAGTAACGTTAACCTTATTTAAGTTACACAATAGGGACAGAGGCTAGCTGGATCATGCTGACTTTTGTATTGGAGAAAGATGTGTAGGCTAGCAGCTCAATGACATGGGATTATTGCACTCATTTGGTGACACAGTTAACTGTAGATTGCTTGCAGGATCTCGTGGAAATGTAGTAAATGGGATGTATGCACTGTGAATTTTAACATTTACTAACATCATGTCAATATGATGCAGATGGCTACAAGCTAACACGGTTTTTACCCTTAGTTACTAAATGCGCACTTTTCAGACTTTTTAGTTTACTTACTATGTTGTAGATTCCGCGGTGCCGCTACGGTGACAACAATATTGGAAATGTAGATTTTTTTTTCCCCTACGTATCCCCGTCTAAAGTCAACCTCTCATCCCCACGTGTTGACCGAGTAACATCAGTCTTAAAAACACACATACACACAAATCAACTAAACGAATGGTGAAATCTCGCGACTCCAATATTGTCTAGTCTCGCGTCAACCAAGAATGAACTAGACGCTTCTTCTTCGGGTGAGATTTACGTTAGAGCAAATGTGTTGCTGTCATCCACAGGTCATTTGCAGAACTCCATTCTAGAACTAAATCTTCATATATAGGCTATTTTTTTAATGCTTTATCGAACCAACATTTTCCAAACAAACAAAGCATGTCAAACATATGGAACTTACAAGTGTTCAAGATAAATAAATAAGACACTATGAAATAATAATAATTATACAGGCAATTTTATATGACAGTGTAATTGTAAATTAGGCTATGTTTTTGTTTAAAAAAATCTGCTGATTATTATGAAATACAATTTCATTCCGCTTGTTTTCACAATAACAATCTTTATTACAGATCCCCTTTATTTAAAGGATAACTCCATTTTTTTTAACCTGCTGTATTTCCCCTAAAAATGGCGTAGTGACTCCATAGCTACTGCTAATTTTGTTATCACTACCTTCATTGTAGAGATTTACCTTAAATGGCATTATTGTAGCAATCTATTTTCATCCAAGAGTGCTCAGAAAACACATGAATTCAGTTAGATAATTTGTCATGGTTATCTTTGAGTCAGAAAGAAAGCAAATACAAGATAGCTGCCTGGGGTATTACATTACAGCAAACTGCAGACAATAATCACCTGGGACCAGTTGTCAGTATTAAATCTTGGTTGTGATCTGGATCAAACCTTCAGTTTGTGTGTATGTATTTATTCGTTTATTTATGAATAATGCACCTGCGACAGACTGGCACCCTGTCCGGGGTGTACCCTGCCTCTTGCTTAATGTCAGCTGGGATTGCCTTCAGGATCAGCAGCAGGTTGGATTCTTTATTTTTCATAGCAATTTCATTATGAGTTTAAGCAAGTGTTATGTACTTAGAAAATATTATTTCTTATCACTAAAGTGGCTCTGAATTGCTATACTGCCTTGTCTCTTTGTTGTTGTTGTTGTTTTAATCCTATCTATGCCATGTAGTGGAAATGATGAACAATAACAGAGATATTCATGATCTGGTTATCTTGAAAAGAGTAAGTCTAGGTCATGGTGATCTTATTCTAAATTGTTTTGAAATTCCAGGACAAAATCTAGCTGAGTTGTCTGATCCTGGATCACAAAATGCTGGATTTCAAAATCTAATCCGATCTGATTGAGATTAAAACTTTTGAATTCCATCCATCCATTATCTATACCACTTATCCTAACGAGGGTCACAGGGGTGCTGGAGCAAATTCCTGCTGCAAGAGGCAGAGTACACCCTGGACAGTTTATCACAGGGTTGACACTTAGAAACAGACAACCACACAATCTATAAACTAGTTTTCCTGTTTTAGAATCACAATTCCATTACCAGAATCCACCAACTGGTTTTGACAGAATATCATTGACACTATCAAACGTGCACTTGGTAGGGCCTGACACACCTCCTCATAAACCCAAATTCAAACTTGTGCATCTTTCAAAAATATCATCACAGTGCTATATTATGTCCATACTTTGTAATGGCATCAATCATCATTTCCTGAAAACAGGGCATCCTGCATATGCTGCACCTCCTGTTAAACTTCAAATATCATGTACTTGCAGACAGTGGCTCTTGGCAGTTTCACTACAAGGGACCCAGCAAGCTTCTGCAATATGTGGTTAATTAGTCCTTACTCCTTTCTTTGTGACCAAATGCATGTACATGTTTTTATTCTCATTTCATTTTTTCTCATAGAGGTCCTGAACTCTGCTTTCTACCAGAACTACTGCTTGTTATGGCTCCAGTAATCCATTTTCTGAGGTCCTCAGTCTGTTGCTGTGCTTTCTCAAACTTTCACTCCTTACATGTCAATTTTATGCATAACATTTTGTAATGTGCTGCTCAAGTGTCTCATTGCACCAAGTCAATTTCAGCTGCAAGTCTGATATAGTAAATTTTGCAACATACAGTTGCTTATTTGTGTAATTTTTCTTGTTCCACTCTTGACACAGACATTTATTAATTTAAGTGTGAGATCCAGTACTATGGAGGGTCCATGTATCATCCGATCATTCATTTATTTTATTTAAACTGGGGGAGTTCATATATTCATGATATTCTGATTCAATTCAATTTAATTTATTTGTATAGCACCAGTTCACAGCAGCAATTGCCTTAGGGCATTTTACATAATAGTCTAGATCTTACGCTATTATAATGACTCCTGACTTCACCAGTCAGAGGTCACTAAAATTAATTTTGAGTTCGTGTGTAACTTGTAAAAACAGTGTCAGACTCTGTAGTTTTCTCTGAACCCCTGACCAATCTGACCACTAATGACATGTTTAGCTGCATGTTGTCATTCAACCAGTGGCTGTCTAGGTGGTGCCCAAAAAATGATGTGGGCTTCACAGACAATTGGAAAACCTTTACAGCCTAGGGCCACAAGCACAGTATTGGACACCACAAGCAGGATTCAGCTATCTGGTGAATTGGCACTTTATTGAGACAAGAAGCACAAGAGAATATAAGAGATAATGGAAGAGGAGAACTTCAGTAGGTGTCCTGATGCCTGGGACGAAGGAGTCAGGAACAGAGGTATGACTGGACAGGGGACCGGTGCGTGGTGTAGTTCAGGTTGATCTGGAGGAAGGTAGGGAAGCTGGTCTTTTGTTAAGTGGTGAAAAGTCTACACTGCCAGACTGGCAGAATAAGAGTTGGGTAAAAACTGACGTACGCAGACCAACTAGGAGAACAGGCTTGGGAACACAAGTGCTAGCCCGACAGGAGGGTCGAGGCCTGGTCCGGACCAAGGCCCCCGAGGAGGTCAGTTGAGCAGGAAAGACCGAGAAAAGCTCGGAGGTCAAGGTACAGGTAGGAGTGAGTGAAGCAGGTAGAGAGCAGTACTTGTTGGGGGTGAGGCATACCATCTGTGTAGAGGAGTACTCAGAGGTCAGGCAGTGTCAGTGTAGAGCCGGTGGAGAGAAGCACTGGGTAGCAGAGAGGCTCACAGCCAGGCTGGCAGCAGTGAGGAGTACCGGGAGGCTGGGCTGCGCTGTGTTGAGCAGGTCGAGTGAAGCACTGGACAGCAGGGAGACTCACAGCCAGGTTGGCAGCAGAGAATCAGGCAGGACGCAATGAGGAGTGTTTTGAGGCAGGACTGAGTTGATCGAGCAGGTAGGATGAAGCCTGGGTAGTGGGAAGCTCACAGTTACGGTGGTCACAGGCAAACAACCAGAGAGACAGGAGTTCAGACAGCAAGGTTACCGAAGCAAAAAAAAACGTTCAAACAGAAAGTTGGCTGCCAAGCCGATGTGGAAGTACCAAAAACTGACTGGCAAGGAGGAAACAGCTGAGCCCAGACCTTAAAGGAAAGGAAAGGAAAGTCACTTTCAGTTTTTCCCATTTAGGGGTCGCCACAGCGAATTGTCACACTGACGATTCGCATGTTGAGTTTTGGCACGTTTTATGCCGGATGCCCTTCCTGACGCAACCCTGATTCAAACCCGGGCCACAGCAGCGAGAGCGCTGCGCCTTAACCACTAGCCTACCAGGGACGGCTTGATGCCGGGAAAATCGGCATCAGTTGTGCGCACTCCCTGCCAACCAGGCTTAGTCGCTCAACCCAATGTCCTGAGGAGAGGGATAGAGGTAGAAGCAGGCTTATTACCTAAGAAAAAAATTTTGGGTAAAACCTGGTCTGATTAGCTGAGATGGCATCCATCCCACTTTGGATGGTGTGGCTCTCATATCTAGAAATCTAGACACGTTTATTTTACAACCTAAATTATGACAACCCAGAATTGAGTCCAGGATGCAGGGTTGCAGTCTTATACACCTCTCTGCAGTCTCTTTGCAGCTGTTACCCACCCAAAACTCCCAGTACCCCATAGAGACTCATTCAGAAGCCTTTTTCTGAGTCCCTCATACCCAAACTGGAAAACTCAAAAGCTGGTTATGTTTGTTATTGTATACTGTCCACCTGCCCCATATTCAGAGTTTTTAACAGAATTTTTAGACCTTCTGTCTGATTTAGTGCTTAGTACAGATAAAATAATCATAATGAATGACTTTAATATTCATGTAGATTCTGACAGTGACAGCATCAACAGTGCATTCAGTTCATTATTAGGCTCAATTGGATTTTCTCACCCTTCCTTGAACCGCCACCTTATTGTGGTGGAGGGGTTTGAGTACCCGAGTGATCCTAGGAGCTATGTTGTTGGGGGCTATATGTCCCTGGTAGGGTCTCCCAAGGCAAACAGGTCCTGGGTGACGGGTCAGACTAAGAGCCGGTTCAAAAGCCCTTTATGAATAGATTAAAATCAAGGACCGTGACGTCGCCCGGCATGGCGCAGCCGGGGCCC